CTCGATGGAGGAAGGCGCATCCCTGACACCCTTTCCGAACAGGAGCAGAAGACGCAGCTGGAGAAGGAGGCGTCCCGCAGCCGCATCCCCCGCCTGATCCTCCGACCGCAGCAGAAGGTATCCCCCGCTTCCGAATCGCCCTTTTCGGAAGAGGAGAGCCGGGAATTCAACCCGCTCAGTTCCTCCGGGGGCTCCCGCAGGACCGTCAGCAGCAACAGCTTCTGCTCAGGTACCTCAGACACACGCACACACACACATACAGCCCTTCCTCATTTCAGTCCTCATTCGAGGGGTCACAGTGGGTCACCCCCAGGCGCAGCATCGGTGTGTAGGGCTCGCATGGAACCCTGCCCAGCATCCCGCTTTGCAGATGTAGAAGGGCTACCATTGATTTTTCCAGGGAGAACCAGTATTTCCAGTTCTTTTAATACATGTCCGTAAGTGACACCAGATGTTTCCATTTCGAGTTCTGCTATCTGCTGCTAAAAAGTTGGCGGTTTTACTGCGGCAGAGTAGCTGCTTTAAAGAGAAAGATTTGCCTCAAAAACTGCAGTGTGAGTTCGAGGCACTCAGAAAAGCTTGTAAGTTAAAGAGTCTGTAGAACAGGAGAGTTGCTATTAAGGGCATCAGACATGGGTCAGATATTGCAGTTCCTTTTGGTTTCGCAGCGATGATCTCCATGCATGCATTGGAATAAAATATGTAGGTGATGTTTTGGCTGTCATATTGAATTGAGTTTTGTTTATTTGAGAATTCAGGCTCCGCTTGATAAGCGTGTTGCCAGACGTGAGCTGGGCATGACGTCGTCTCCACAGAGACGGCAGCGTCTGAGTGAGATACTAGAAGTAAATTACTGCTCTCCAACAGCACACCACAGAAGAGTCATTTGCTCTTCAAAATAAGTATGGCCCTTTACGTCAGCAACAATTTGTAACCAGATTTTTTATATTAAATACTTACCCTGTGTAGAGTTTAGCACAATTTAAGTGCCTCAACTAGCAGTGAATGACTCGGATACCTGCTAGTGGTGAGTCATCTTCTTAATTCAGTGAAACTCTTCACTGTGTATGACGTTATGCACGTGGGTAACAGCATTGAGGGTCACATCATGAGCACCTTGGGCTCTATATGTCTGTGGTAATTTTAAAGATATTTCGGTGACTAAAATTTTGGTTTTAACAGTATTTTGGAGAGCATAACATTCTCTGACTAAAAATCTGAATTATTACAAGTGTTTTTGTAATAGTTAATATCAGAGCAAGTTCCTAAACTTCCTTTTTTCTTTCTTCATAAAATACCAAAGGTTTTCCTGAGAATAGCCATAAACACTTGTATTTATCTTTTTCTTCACTACAGTGTATCAGATTTATTTATTATTTAATTCCTTTAATGAAAAGCAGTGTACAAGAGTAGTCAGTTTTCTGAGATGACAAACAGAATATCTGTATTTGAGACTACCGTTTCCTCCATAGCTTGGATAGATTTTGTAATTCAGGCTTGGTGGAATGATCTATTTGGTTATTGTTTAATGAACAATGCAGAGCATTAAACAAACAACATAGTACTGTAAGAATGCTAAAGTCTTTTTCCCATGCCTTTGAATCCCTTCACCTTAGCTGCTTTTGAAATTTTCTAGAAACATGTTATTTTTATGATCTCTCCCAAATGGCTGGGTTATATCCTGATATTTCTGTTCCCTGTGTGTTGACAAGCCTTTCATCCTGGTTACTGGCATTCTTTTTTATATCTTTTGGGTTCATATTGCATTCTTCTGATGTGCTCAACACAGAGCTGCCAGAGTAATACCCTCGCTGTCCCACTGCACTATGTAGGCCATCCTGAGTCTCAGCAGAGCTTCGTATTTACTCTGGGTGTGTCTGATCTCACGGCTCAACAGTTTCAATGCGCCTCTCACAGGGGTATTCAGGAGCATGATGCTGGTCTTTTAACCTGCCTCTTAAGCATGAATGCTCATATTTTTATTTCCTTTATATTCATCTTTTATTCTTCCATGAATGCTGCGTTGATTTAGTTTGATTTATTTTTTTTCCCCATGCTGAGAGCTTTGTGCTTCTCAAGCTGCCTGCAGCACCCATACAGGTATGCATTACCCAGTTTGACTGCTGTCAAGTCTTCAAACCTTATGCGGCCAAGGATCAGCCAAGGCATATTCCTCCATCCTAGTACGTGGTTTTATTGTTGATAGGTTCGATGGAATTTTCCCTGTGATGCAGGCATGACAACAATCACTGACTTGGTTTTCCCATTCTCTAATATCTCTTCCCTGTCTTCCATTTACGATCCTTCTTTATCATAGTATGTCTAATTTGAGCTGAACTTGAGTGGTGAAGAGCTGCATGGAGAAGTCAGTGGAGGGGCCGCAGCCTCTAACCTGCCTCTCCTGGTGCCTGGCTAGGTGCTTACCATCTTAACTGAGAAGTGGCATGTGCAGAAAGTGTATTTAAAAATAGCATTTAATAAATTTGGAAGAGGTGAGCAGGTGATGAACGGTAGTGTGATAGCAGTGTGAAATAGCTCCTGAGCATTTTGATAAATGTCTTTTTTGTAACTTCTTTGGAGCATTAAACTCCAAAAGGTTCTCGATAAGCAGCAGATAGTGTGAATTGACCTCTGGTCAATTCCCTTCTCCTGAGAAGTTGCTTTCTCCCTTTCTTCCTGTATTATTGACACCAAGTAGTTATGATAAGTAGATTTCTTTTTTCCCTGGTAGAATTTATTTATTTTTTCTTAGTCCATTTAAATATGTATTTCCTGCTTGATTCCATAGAGATTCAGAGGTTGTCCATTCTCCCTGGGTGCTTACGTTGGTGCCAACATGTAAGTGAAGGCTTGAAGTCCATTTTTCTCTCTAAACAAATGAGAGCAACAGGGTCTTCCAGGTATTGTTAATCCAGATATTAATGCAGGTATTGTTGGTTTAGGCAGGGGGAACCTGTGGGAACTGGGGCAGCGCTGTGAGCATGGTGGCAACAGCAAAAAATGCTTTGTGGCGAAAGACAAGAGACACTTTGTTTTAATGTTTGATTTCATTTGAAGAAGTTGTTAGTTCTGGCCAAGATAAATTTTAAATTTGCACAATCAGCTCCCTCCTTGTTTTTGTGCCTGGATCAGAGGCTCAGTTGGTCATGTTGTTTAATTACTTGCAATTGACTTTATGTCAGTTTGGGTTTGTAAGTCTGTATGAAACACAGTGAAACTGTTAAAACTTATCTGCAATATTCCTGACGAAATGTGTTTTTAATATTCTTTGTTTCTGCCAAGTGAACATAGATGATCTCTGGATGTTGTGTAGGCAAGCTGAGCTTTTGTATCAGTATTCACCATGTGCAATCCTTCCTTAGAATCCTTGCACATCTGTCCTGTTTGTCATTTGATACGGGAGCACTCCTCTTCCTTCAACCATTGCCCTCCTCCGGCTTGGATGTCAGCCACAGAACTCCTATGATGTCAAACGATAAAAAAACCTCTCCCAGCAGCTTCGTCTGGCTCGACTGCTACTGAGCATTTGCCCATGTCATGCGTATTTTTCTTCTAAGTTGCACTTGGTTTTGAAGTGGCTATGTGCCCTTACCTTGTCAATTGGACAGGCAGTGCAATTTTAAACATCACAAACAAATCATCCGCTTGTGGGTCCATGGCAGAACAGCTGTAGGACTGCCTTTGGTAGCTCCAGTTACAGAATTTGCCTTGTAAAAGATACTTAGGGCGGGGCATTATCCTTGATTTTTGTGCACACATCCTTTTGATACCAAGCCAGTTGCGTATTGGATCGAAGGCAGCCTGGATATGCTAAGCTTAGTAACAGTTTGGTTAGCTTTTCATTTTAAAAGGAGGTTAGTTTGCGGTACTTTTTTTTCTATTTTCTTCCTCTGAATAGCTCAGCTTTTAAATTTAAATTTAAATTTTAAAGAGGAGTTCATACATCCCACCTTTATAATGACACTCAAGCTTTCCTCTTTAGCCTTTCTTCAGAAGCCAGACACTTAAATTTCTGCAGGTAATGCAGTGGCACTTTGTTGTCTGAGATGCAGTTTGCAGGAAACACTTGTGCATTTAACTGTCGGTTCCACAAAAGACTTTATGAGCCAGAGCAGCTGTTTTATACCCATAGAAGACAGTTCCTCTTTTCTTGGGCGTAGCTGCAAATCACCTCTTTAACTAGTCTGCACAGTACTGCGGGCCACTGGAAACCAGTAGCAGCTCTATACAGGATTGATTGTGACTCAATTCAATGAAAATTCAAAAGTAGGAGCCGAAGCTTCTTTTTTGCTTTTCCCTTCAAATTTCAATGCTTATTTTGTAATTCGCTCTTTTCTGCTCTTAAGATTTTTCTGAAATTTTGTTCTTTACCTGTGTGGTATAATAAATATGCTCTGGTACAGTGGCTGCACTGTGAGCCCCAGGGTGTAGGTGCTGTAACAGAAATCTCAGCACTGTCATTCTTGCTGTTGCTCCTTGCTGTTCACACTCACTCCTGCGCATGGTTCCCCTTGAACGCGACATTTATTTGCCCCTTGGCTCAGCTGTTGATGGTTGCTGGGGCTGAGTTCGCAGTGCATATGTCAAAAAGGCCATGTAGGTTTCAGGCAGGCTTCTTAAAAGTCAGCGTGAATACACAACGCATATTGCTAGCTACAGACAAGAAGAGGGTTGCACGGCTGTTACTGGATGAAAAACTGTACCTTCTTGCACTCTGGTAAATAATTTCTTTGCTAGAGCATTGAGGTAGGTTGTATTGTAAACCAGCTAGCCTTGAAGGCTAGACTGTTAGTACGTGTGTACTTAAATATATATTTCTGAATAGAAACAGATAGAAGAAAGCAAATTTGCAGTGTTATAACAAACCAACAGATTGAGGCCAGAGAGTTACTACAAATTACTGAATACAATTACCTCTGTTATTTGTGCGTGTATGTATTATTACGGAAACAGTAAGCTCTCTCATTCTTCTTGTTTCTTGTTATAGGAAGAAATATTTTGTTTCATTATTTCCTTACAGGTTTATTAGTTGGGGTTTTTATTCTGAGTTACTGAATCAAAGAGATAGGCCTAAAAGTGCTCAAGTGTGTGATACTGAAAGTTAGCTTCTCTTCACAGAACCACAGAAGGGTAGGGTTTGGAAGGGGCCTCTGAAGATCATCTAGTCCAACCTCCCTGCTAGAGCAGGATCACCTTATATCTTTCCTGCAGTCCTTTATGTTACGCTTT